CTAATAGTATACTAAGCAACTATTGTATGAATTGGCTATTAGATCGGTTATAGATAAATTGGAACTAGTAGTGGGCTATACTATTGAACTTGCTCTTATTAGTAGCTCAGTTGATGTACTATTACTTGTATGTATATATGTACTACTTTGCTCTTACTGTTTCTGTTGAAGAATTGGAGCTATCCATCTGAATGAAATCTAGTCCACAACTAGACAAAAACAAACTTTCTCAAGCTAGCTTTGTAAAAGAAAACAAATCTAAATCATGATTTTGCCCAAGTTGTTTGCATAGGTCCAGATAGAACAAGTCCTAGCTACCACCTCTCCACAGGACAGCTTGGAAGGCAGCTACTACAGCAATCAGCAATCCACTGTTCCAAGATCTTGATGTTGCATTGCTGATCCATGCATCATCAGTACACAAATTAATACACACACATATATATATGTATATCATTATAAGAAGTTAGGTTAAAAGTTCACCTCTAACCTTTGACTTGGCACAAAAAAGAAACACAAATAAAATCCCATATGAGTAGGTAAGCAAAGAGATGTGGATTGGATTGAGGGGGTCAAATGGGATTCCTCCCTTTGTATGAAATACATGCATGACCTGTTTATTGGATATGATTAATCACCACACCGATGAACTGAAAGCAATTGCATTGCATTATAAATGTACTGGTATGATTGACTTAAAAAATTAAAAGAGTTGTATGGGAGGTGTACGTAGAAGAGACTCCAGCTTGGCCAACAACAATTCCAGCTGTTGGCAGCATTAACTAGCCCTTTTTTAAGTCCTAATTAAACTAATCACACACACTATATGTACTCTGATCTTTCGGTGTGATGACTACTGACATGTGCAGTTTTATATGATTCCATGCATGTATTATTTGGGAAATTAATATGGTTGATTTGATCATCCTTGATCCGGTAACGGTGGTCTCTGTAGTGAGATACTCCATACAAATCATAGCACGCTATATATCCATGTATACTCTGCTACTATATTATGCTTGCTGCTTGCAGCCACAACTACACGCCATCTCAATTTTCATTTCTTACACACACACACACATATATATATATATATATATATATATATATATATATATATATATACACTTTAGGAAACTTTATCTCATCCGAATTTCAAATACTCTGTACGCGTAAATTTGTCTTCAAGGCTACTTTGATTTATTATTATTATTATTTTTTGCATGAAGTTCTCCTATGAATGATACATTTTGAAGTAGAATGCATGTTGGTTTGGATTACAGAAGTCGTGACCTGTCTTAAGTGGCAACCGGGAACCAACGAATTAACCAATTAATCAGCAGATAAGTTGCAACGTGGAGCATTCCTAGACCAATCATTCACATCAAATGGAAAAGAAAATTCAATGCTTAAACCAAAAGCTGATGTGTACCTGAAGAGCGTTCTTTCTCTGCATGCAACGTCAGCTTCACCGACAAACAGAGAGAGCCATACTGCTAAACTACCAAGAAATGTGAACTGAAGCTAAGCTTGGTTATAGTTGATTATTAATGACTATCCAATTAAGAGAGCATAGCCTGAAGAAATTCGCATGAAGCAACCAATATGTATATTTGACACTGCAGCAGTGACCCAAATAGTGCTAGCTGAAGGGTATCATCTTGCATCAGGGATTCGATGTTAATGCCCCAACCAAACGATTCGAATTGGACGGAACCTAATTTCATCTAATCCAAATTAAACCAAGTCAACACGCGTATTGTGTGGAGTGGCAAATATATATAGTCTTAATTCTCGGCTGATATGCTTACGTGAAAAAAGTTTTATCTGATGGGGTGTCTAATCAAGAAGAGGTTAAGTAAAGCAAGGGAGGTAGTAATTTTTAGTGGTAAAGACTATGAACGGACCATTCTAGGGATGAAAGCTATTGGTAAAAGACTAAGGGGGTGTTTAGATCCAGCGGTATAAAGTTTTAGCGTATCACATCAGATATTATATATGGTGTCGCATAAAGTTTTAGCGTGTCACATCAGATATTATATAGGGTGTCGCATGGGGTGTTCGAGCACTAATAAAAAAACTAATTACATAATCCGTCAATAAGCAGAGACATGGATTTATTAAGCCTAATTAATCCGTCATTAGCAATTGTTTACCGTAGCACTACATTATCAAATCCTGTAGCAATTAGGCTTAAAAGATTCATCTCGCAAATTAGTCACAATCTGTGCAATTAGTTATTTTTTAGCCTATATTTAATACTTCATGTAGGTGTTCAAATGTTCGATGTGACAGGGTGTAAAATTTTTGTGTGGAAACTGAACATATCCTAAAAGTAGTATGGTCTCGAGGCAAGTCTACACCATGCAGCGAGTTGTCATGTGGAAGGATACATGCGACTTTGGGGGACATGAATTCCGGCGTTGATTTTAGTTTTAGTCAGAGAGGCGAATCCAATTCAAAGTCAAAAACAAAGTAGCTAGTGTAAACTTTGGCATCGCAGTACTGGCTACATACTCCTATATACAAAGTACTCCCTCCATCCCTAAATGTTTTACGCAATTAATTTTTTTAAACATGTTTGACCATTCGTCATATTCAAAAAATTTAAGTAATTATTAATTATTTTTTTATCATTTGATTCATTGTTAGATATACTTTTATGTATATATATAGTTTTACATATTTCATAAAATTTTTTGAATAAGACGAATGGTCAAATATATTTTAAAAAGTCAACAGTGTTAAATATTTAGAGAAGGAGTGAGTATATATATATATATATATATATATATATATATATATATATATATAGTAGCATTACGACTAGCATGGTAGCAGACCGTGGGTTTGTTTGACAATTGGGATGCCTTTTCGTTGGCCTAACATCCTGCACAAGTCCAAGCTCGATCAGAATGCAGAAGAGATCCATTTCCTTCAACTTGCCGAAGCTATTCGATCGGCCGAGGCTTTGCAGTGTGCTGCCTGGTCTCTTGTTGCATCGATGCATACGTATCGATAGAAACCAACTATAAACTCATGTGAAAGGGATAAAGAAAAATGAGAAGTGCTGACTCTTATAAAAAATTAGGTTTACACATGCTTTAAAATATTTATATTAAATTCATAATGAGAGAAAAAAAAAGAGAGAAAAATATAATCAACTTAGCTTATAGTTAATCTATAATACGTGTTAGCTCTAGTATGAGCTATCTCAACTATTAAACTTACTCTATGCAAAGAAGAAAAAAAAAGTTAATTACTAGTACTCGGTATAAGAAGCCATGCCCATGCATCAACTTGCACAAGCCATCCCTCCAACTGTATTTTGCCATCCTACTTTGCACCAACGACGACGACTACTACTACTATATAGGAGTATTTATTTATACTGCCTACACTGTTGCTTCTTGCCAAGAATATTTGATCCGTGTGCCAGCACGCCCATTCAAGGGATTATATGGCAGTAGTACTACTCTCTCCCCGTTTCGAAATGTTTGACGCTATTAACTTTTTAGCATATGTTTGACCGTTCGTTTTATTCAAAAAAAATTAAGTAATTATTAATTCTTTTCCTATCATTTGATTCATTGTTAGATATATTTTTATGTAGGCATATAATTTTACATATTTCACAAAATTTTTTTAATAAGACGAACGGTCAAACATGTGCTAAAAAGTCAACGGTGTTAAATATTTCGAAACGGAGGGAGTATATTTGCTCGCGTTGCCCTGCAAGATGGCGGTCAGTCGGTCACGGTCTTTTAATTTGCTTGGTTAGTTTACAGCTCACATTACTAGCTAGCAACTACTCCCTCGGTTTCAAAATATTTAACACCATTGACTTTTTAGTATGTGTTTGACCATACGTCTTATTTAAAAATTTTAAGTAATTATTTATTTTTTCATATCATTTAATTCATTGTTAAATATACTTTCATATACGCATATAGTTTTACATATTTCATAAATTCTTTTGAATAAGACGAACGGTCAAATATATGCTAAAAAGTCAACGGTGTCAAATATTTTAAAACGGAGGGAGTACTTACGCATGACAAAATACAGTACGCGCTAGTCATCACCGGCCGTGGCTGAACTGAACAGCTCCCATCGCCTTGGCTTTGCTCGCTGCCACGGAACACAAGTGCGTGCGCCTCCTTTGTTCACAACTACTGTAGATGGTAGATGCGCGTTGCTTTGCTGGTCGGCCGCTGCTGCGCTCCGCGGTCGGAGGAACTGGGCCTAGTGTGGCTGTGGGTGACCGCTCGACTCGGCCCAGCCAGCCTTGCTCAGCCCGCGACGTACACGCTGCCAAGCCCAGTTTCCGCTAGCCTCTTGTCAGCCATCAATGGTGATTGTGGTCTCAATCCCATCGGAGTAGCCCGTACTCCGAAAAATCTGAATGATATTGAGTGGTGTTTGGATCTAATAAAATAAATATAAAAATTAAGTGTTTCACGTGGTAATAACATGTAATTAATTGAGTTTTAATTATTATAAACTTTGAAAATAGATTAATCTTATATTTTCGAACAATTTTTATATAAAAAGTTTAAAAAAGTACCACTTTTATCCAAAAGCTTATCCAGTTTTTATTGGAGAAAAGAACATGGCCTGAGTTTCTTTAGAACTGCTTTCGTTCTAAACCCCTGACTATAAAACCGAATAATATTGAGTTTCTTTTGGACGGAGGATATATTTAGAGACCTCTAGCTACTTGTGGAGTTTTTGCACCATCAAGCAATCCATATTCTTAACCAGATTATGGGATCATGTAGCTATAGAATTCAGAAAATAAATTATAAAGCCAAAAGCCGAGTTTTTCAACATTTTTAGATTCTCCTGAAATGACTACCAATTAGATGTTTCTTTAGCTCCTGTAAACAGGGTCTCATGCTGTAACTGCTCCAAGGTTCGACCATGCCAGATCCCCATCCACCGCACAACCATATCAAAACGTTTTCTACAGAATCCACAGCAAAACAACACACAAAGCAAGAACAACTCCAAAGTGAGCAGAATTCACCGGCGTTGTAACTTAATATGTTTGCAATCTTCCAGGAAAGGCGTAATGACACAACATTTGCCAAGTTATTGATACCACTACAGCACGACAGTAACATATGGTTCGCAAAGCCATAGCGACTACAAGTTGAAGATTACCGGTAGCTCTAGACCTCATTCACTGACAGAGAGCGACCTCTCTCTCCGTGTGGATCCACCACCGTATCCTTCCTCGACCGGGCTCCTGCTCCTTGATCTGCTCTCAACTGGTGAGTAAAGAAAAACAGGAATGCGATCTCTATCCTTAATAGCAATATCTAACATTGAGCAAATAACAGGTGGTAAATTAAACGTATCTGTAGATGCAGGTGAGTAGTATATACAATGTAAATTACCTTGAGAAATTGCCAGGCTCACCTTATGCTGGGGAGACACTACCAGGGATACAAATGATATCTGGGGCCAATTCCCTCATGGTTCCAAACTCCGTCACACCATGCACTTCTCTTTTTATCATGTCAACAGCTAGAACATAAGCCTTGGGATGCATGAATTCGGCCCTGGCAATCAGGTAAACAATATTCGGAGGAAGCATGCTGGGAGTGGGTTGAGAAACCCAGAGGTTCTCCAATTTCCAATCTGCGTTGGTGGACACACTCTTGCTGTCCTGTGATGGCTTCTTCCGCAGCAGTTTGTACTCCAGCAGTTGCATACGCATCTGCTCTTTCAAGATGATGATATCTGCGTGGACTGGCATGCAGTCGTTCTTCCAGTCGTCGAAGGAATTGCTCATCTTGAAGTTGCTTGACACTCCAGCTATCAAACCAGAAGGAGGGCCTGCCACTTTCATCTTCATCAGGAAGCCGTGTGCAACTGACATCCAAATCGACAAACCTGAGGCAGGGGCGGCCGTCCGGCCTGTTGATGAATGTAATGCGGCGAAATGGCTTTGGACATCCAAAATGATCAGAGCTAATCTCACCATCAGGTTTGAACAGCACCCTTGGCAAGGGCAAAGGTACACCTCGGAGGACGGGATCCGGGGAGAGTATGTCGCAGAGAAGAATGCCCCGCCAGAGATCGACCCAGCCCATGGTGCCGCCTTCACCACCAATCGTAATCACGGTGCTTGGGTAATGGCTCAAGAGGCGACGAGCGTTCCTGGGGATTTTGATTGGGAAATCTTGCTGTGGATCCTTGAGAACCACCTGGGTGGATGCCCATCTCCCGATATCCGAGTGAAATACGTGGAGCGCGAACACGCTAGGGTTGGGCGTGGGCACCAGCGCGGCGACGGAGCAGCGGGCACTCGTACGGAAAGGCCGGGGCAGGAGGCCGACGACGTCGTCGTGGAAGGAGAGCGGCGCCGGGTTGGTGATCCTGTAGAGCGCCCGGCCATGGACGTTGTAGACGAAGTAGTCGAAATCCTCCATGGGTATGCAGAAGCGGTGACGGGAGCGGATGACGACGCGGAAGAGGATGAAGCCTCTCACCATGCGGATGATGCGTGGAGCCTCCGAGAAGGCGGCGGGATCCGAGATGTCGGGGCTGTACACGTACAGGGTGGAGGGGAGCGGCGGCGGCGCTCTCCAGAAGGAGGCCACGAGTCGCTCGAAGTTCCTGGTGAAGTCGACGGCGGTGGTGTGGTTGGGTTTGTTGCCGATGTAGGCATGGCCGTCGAGCAGGACATCCTCCTCCTCATGACCGCTGCAGCTGCCGACGGTAGCCATGCTACCCTCAGGGATCGACGATCAAGGGTTGATTGCTGTCGGTGGCGCCGCCGGAGGAGAGGAGAGAAGGAAGGCCAGCTGCTAGGCGGATGGACTCGACTCGACTCGACTAATAATAATGGGCCTGAGAAATCGTTCGGCCCAGTAACGTTCCAATGCTGCCCACGGTTTGCTTCTTTTTTCGTTTGTTTTTGTAATTAATTCCTATACTTTTTTTTACTTTCAATGTATTCAAATAAAATAATAATAGTTGACTTATAGTTTCCCAAAAAACTAATCCAACTATTTGCAAACAAATACTCAACATTTACATACAAGTATTAGGCGCTTACCTTAGCTTAGGGTCTGTTTAAATCCCCTAGCAAAGCATTTTACCCTATCACAATGAATTTTTAGCCACATGCATCTCTATCTCTACTCTACTATTATAAAAATATTATAAAAATTGAAAATGTTTTTGCCGGTATTTTGGTACGTCATTCATGTTTGAATCAGTTTTAATTTTATGTTTATTTTAATCTATATCTTTACTAAAAAGGAAATTTCTGTCATCCGTAAAAAAGAAAGAAAGAAAAGTTTAACTCAAAAAGGTAGAAAAAGAAAGAAAAAGTCCAGTCCGACTCAACGAGAGATTAAAAAAAAGAAAAAAATCGTAAAAAAAACTGGCTGACTCCCATAGAAAAAGGAAAAAAAATAAAGTCTCCCAGTAAAAAAAAAAGTCCGCTTGTTTTTTTTGGCACCAGTATTTTTTTCCTTTTTTTCACACGAAAGAGTTTTTTATGCGCACACGCTAAGGATTTTGATTTTTTTTGTCCTGTTTTTTAATCCGATATGTTCACCGCTCGCCTTCGGGGGCTTTTGGTTTTTTTTTTGTCAATTTTTTTTTTGTCGCCGGCTTTTTCTCCGGTGCGCTTTTTGTTTTTCTCATCTGGTTTTTTAATCCAATCGGTTCGCCACACACGTCCCGAATTGAACCCTAGCGCTTCGCCGCCGCCACATCGATCGTGCATTTTTCTCCTCCAATTTGATTGTAAAAATCGATTCCCCACTCCTCTCTCATCATTTTCTTCGTGATTTTCCCTCCGATTCGGCTTTAATTCGCTGGATTTAATTTCCGTTTAATAGTTACTGATGATGACAGCGATCTTCCCCGGTAGTTTTTATCCCGAGTTATACGCTTTGATTTTGGGAAAAAAAGGGGAAAGAATAGATCGAGTGGATAAAAACCCTCAACAATTTTGGCTGATCGAGAAAGATTCGACTTGATTTGATGGGGATATTTGCTCCGGCAACCGTACGGGTATGGGACTATCTTCGGGAGGTTGAAGATGTAGTTGGTAGTCATCTTCTCGGGAATGGGATTAATTATACTCGGGAGGTTGAAACTGTGCGAGTTGGGATTACGGCTCCACTTGTGATTGGGTCGAAGGGAAGCAGACCAAATAGAGGGAGGTGCCGGACTAGCCTAGGCTAAAAAGGAAGGAGTGCTTTAGGCTGAAAACACTGGAAAATTTTCATGAAATTTTTTAATTATAATCTATAGCGATCCCAATGTTAGAATTTCCATTAATACTTTCAATTGTAATATACAGTGATCCTAATATTTTAATTTATTGCTCAACTCTTTATATATCACTGAAAAAACGTCTTTACCCGTTGTAACACACGAGCATTTTTTTCTAGTTAAGTATTAAATATAGGCAAAAAAACGAATTACACAGATTGTGTGTAAATTGCGAGACGATTCTTTTAAGCCTAATTGCTCCATGATCTGACAGTGTGGTGCTACAGTAAACATTTCATAATGATGGATTAATTAGGCTTAATAAATTCGTCTCGCGGTTTATAGGCGGAATCTATAATTTGTTTTGTTATTAGACTATGTTTGATACTTTAAATGTGTGTCTGTATATCCGATGTGGCAACAAAATTTTTCAGCCCTGAATCTAAACATTGCATTCCGCTTCTTTACATTGCATTCCGCTTTGTACCCCCTACCCACGTAACCATCTCCAAGTGCGGGAGTACCATTGTATGCTATCCTCCGTTTTATGATATAAGACTTTTTAGTATTGTCCACATTCACATAGATGTTAATGAAAGTAGACGATGCTAGTGAAAGGGAGAGAGGATTATTGTTGTTGTTGCTGTGGTGCTGCCGCCGCAGTCCTATAATTCACAACTCGTTTTACTCATTATCATTGAACAGATCCAACGGTCTAAATCATCTAGCGTGCAATCCAATCCAGATCATCCACCTCGATCCGGCTTGAATAGTTGAATGAATCAATCAGCTTCAGTTCAGGCAGCCACAAATCGTCCGCTCCATTGGCGAGGTGATCGTGAGATCGCGGCCACTGCAGTGCAAGTGCAGTGAACTTGACTAGTTAGTGCGCCCGACCTAGCTGGCGTGGCAACGACTTGGTTTAAGGCTTATCGGTGCTGCGACGTCCACATATGGCATACCGCTGCTGCTAATCAGATACTCAGATCGGCTGTTTCTTTAGCTCCTGTAAAAGGGTCTTATGCTGTAAATGCTCCAAGGTTCGACCATCGTGCCAGATCCCCATCCACCGGGCAACCATATCAAAACGTTTTCTACAGAATCCACAGCAAAATAAGCACAAAGCAAGAACAACTCCAAAGTGAGCAGAATTCACCGGCGTTGTAACTTAATATGTTTGCGATCTTCCAGGAAAGGCGTAATGACGCAACATTTGCCAAGTTATTGATACCACTACAGCACGACAGTAACATATGGTTCGCAAAGCCATAGCGACTACTAGTTGAAGATTACCGGTAGCGCTCTAGACCTCATTCACTGACAGAGAGCGACCTCTCTCTCCGTGTGGATCCACCACCGTATCCTTCCTCGACCGGGCTCCTGCTCCTTGATCTGCTCTCAACTGGTGAGTAGGACCTCTCCCTCATCCTGCGCCTTGCATACCGAGGCGAAGGAGACCTGCCAAGACAGACATGTTTTCAAGCGTGTCATTGTGAAATGCAACAGTAGTTTGAAGCTGGTAGGCTGAAGCATGAAGACAGAAAGAGCGTGTGCGCATATATACCTTGAGTAGCTCGGGCTGCGGTAAGGCGAGCGGCCCCTTGGAGGAGGAGAGTATCGCGGTGACCTAGAGTACCTTTGGTCATAGGAACGACCTCTGCTGCCACTGCAGATTGTGCAAGCAGATAAGTGAATAGAGCAGCGAGTTTATGCATTTGCGCTAGGGAGGATGGGACAACGAACCTTATTCTGTCGCGAGATCTCATCTCAGAAGGCTTCTTTCTGTTCTCCTCTGCAAATACAACAGCTACTTCCCTGCCCAGAATAACCTGCCCGTCCATGTAGTATTTTGCATCGGCAGCATCATCAGGATCGTAGTACTGGACAAATCCAAATCCACGCGGTTCACTGAAAAGGACAAAGAAATGGATGTCTGAATAAAAGGTTTAAAACAGTCTTACTTAAAAATGGCAGTGGTTCTGTTTTCAGCTATGCGACACCCAGCAAACAAACAAATTCACTTATGAAGCTTTTCATGGTTGTACAGCATTGAATACAAATTAAGTAAAACAAGAGTGTGCACTCTGCTTCTGACCTTGCACCTGTCAGATTATAAATATAGACTTCAAACACTTCATGACTTTGAACTATCTCTTAAACCCGTAATTACATTTCTTCTCTTCATCTGTAATATTTATGTTGCACATCTCTTAACTTGCAACTCTCAGTCTCTTCCCTTCTCTTCAACAGACTTGAATCACTAAAGACTTGTGTCTTCACAAACTTGTTTTCACTGTTAATCCCAAGTGGATGACAGAAGTATTTTAATGTCTGCTAGTAAAACTAGAACACACTTTTTTTTTAAAAAAAAGGAGAGTTCGCAGAGTGCACTTTTTATGTCAATGTATAAATCCCAGCTATAAATTTTAAGTAGTCTCTGCTGGTGTAAATGCTAATTAATACTTCATCCGTTTCACAATGTAAGACTTTCTAGCATTGCCTACGTTCATTTAGATGTCAATGAATCTAAACATATATATATGTGTTTATATTCATTAACATCTATATATATGTGGGCAATGCTAGAAAGTCTTACATGGTGAAACGGAGGGAGTACTAGTCTACATACGGTGCCTTACCCGCTATAGTAATCTCTTGGAATATATATGTCTTTGAGACGACCAAATTGTCCGAATGGCCGACGAAGGTCCTCTGGCCTGCATACATAATGTACTGTGAGTTAAAAGGGCTAAAGAGGAAAGATGGAATTCCAGTTGCAGTACATACAAGAATCATAACCAAGAACATAATGAAGCTTCAACTAAATGTCTGATTTCCTCTTCAGGAATGCATTTAAATTTGATGCCAATTATTCGCGCCAAATTTCCACGGGCACACAGAAAAGCATGCAGCATGCAGCTCAAAGACATACCTATTCTTTTGGCCGCTATAACCGGCTTAAGACTGGAACTGGAATTTTATAAATATTGAAATTTATCACTCCAATTACCAATGTAGTAGCACCAAGTGATAATTAAAGAACACATATAGGCTCACAAAACCATCTTAGCTCAATAAGCAGAGCGTCACAAAAGAAAGAACTTGAGAATGCCACAGATGCGTAACCGTACAATATTTTGTAAATATGTCGAGTTCAACAACAAAGTATAAATTTCATACATGGCACATCTACAAGTTGTGCGCTCGCAATTACTAGCCACAGGAAATTTCAAGAAATTTTACCGGCAGTCCCGACGAAGATTCCTGACTAGAAGACTGGTCGGGAGATCTCTACCACGTCCACCATAACGGTCACGGGGAATTGGGCTGCTGGCCCTTCTCCGATAGCTTCTTGGAGGTGGTGATGGGCTGTAACTGTAGCCTCTCCCCATATCAATCTAGAACAACAAACAGCATAAGATTAGAAAAAGAAAAGAAAATAAAACTAGCAGTAAACAAATGTAATAGCGTTAATACACTAGCAATAATAATAAACAGGAAGTAATCAATTGTCTCAAGAGCATAGCGCAAGCATATTCCCTCTAATCGAAATTAAGTCCATGGCTTAAACTATTTACAGAAAGTAAAAAGGTAGAAATTAATCGAGCGCTTCAGAGTACAATCACCACACAGCCGAATAATTGCAGAGAACTATACAAGTCTATACTACCAAGGCGCCAACTAACAACACTAGTTTCCGCATAGAATTTCAGCGTTTGTTTTTTGAAAACGAGAATTTCAGTGTGTAAGTACGCAGCATCACAGTGCGAGACCACAAATTCACCAAGCATCACGACCAAATCATCCCAAACCCCATCCAACCGCACCTAACGAACTAGTAGATTAAAGACGCCCCTAGAGCCACCACATAATCAACTACAGCATCGATCCGGATCATTATATAACCAAAATCACCCAACGAATTATGTTACTGCTCATAAACACACCTCTCCTAGGGTTTAGGCTTCATCCCGGAGATCAAACAGGAAACAATCTCACCATCACAACCGACCTAGCAGGCGATTACAGCGATGGAATCACGCTTACCGCGAGCGAATCGGATCAAAACGGAGGGGCTCGAGCGGAGGGAGGGAATGCTTCTTCGGTTCGTCTCGTCTCGTCGCATCGCGTTCGCCTCTGGAGTTTTGGATTCTACCGCTCTAGAAGCTTCCGGACGAGCCCCGAATCGGCACGGGAGAGCGCACACGCGTGGCGGCGCCTGAAGGCCTTTTATGATGGGGACGCGTGGCGTGTTGGCCGTCGGATCGTGACACGTGTCCACGAGATGACGCGGTTGGACGGTGCGAGTGGCGACGTCGTTGTGTGGGCCGCGAAGTTTGTCATCGGCTCGTGGGCCTAGCCTTTTCTCGGCCCTGAAAGGTAGGAAACCGAGGCCTTTCCATCCATTTTCTTCTCTTTTTCCTGTTCTATTATTGATGTTGTATTGGGTGATTTTGAAACCCTTTTGAAAGAAATTTTGGGTAATTTTTGTTCATTGAATTCTTGAATTTGATCTCCTCCTAAGTAAGTTGAATAAATGGATTTGTGGATTGTGAGAAGCTGACCTAAGACAAAAGATTTTTTGCAGTAGTAGTACATTAAAAAAGCAGGCATTGCATTCCATCCCTCTTCAAGGGCTAAGGCTTATCTACCTAACATTTTTTCTTGTTTCCTGCACACGATGATAACATTTCCTTTCTGTTGATCTGTCATTCGTGATTTGAGTAGCTATATGTAAATAGGTTTGATGTTGTTTGACAATATCACCAGCATAGCTATTCTCATGCTTACAGTTCATCTAACCAGCTTTCCTGATCAGGGTTCAGAGGTTATATCCAAAGTTTTATTCAGAAGAACGCAAAAGGAACATTCAAGATTAGCATCCATAATATTTATGAGTAGTACGACTAGTACATTAAACAAGCTCTAGATTAGGATCAACACAAGTGATCAAAGTGATGGGGATGAGAAAGCCCTGGAATGGTCCGAACCCAATGTGTGTAATCCACCGATTGGCCTTAGCTGATTGTGACTCCGTTCATGTTTGATGTGCTAGTACCAACCACCTGTGCCACTATCTGTCCTCCACATGTACACTCCATAGGCGTATGGACGTATGGAACAAAAGATAAGATACAAAGATGCATGGAGAAGATTATAGTTAAAACTGAAAGCTGTACATCACTATCATTTGGTAATTCAGAATTCAGAAGTGAATATGGACATGGAATCTGCAGTACTACTTGTGCGGTAGCAGTCACTGACAAGTGGGTCCGGTACCCCGATCGGACGTATTAGTGGCTTAAACTGCACCAGCAGTAATACGAGAATCTTGTCGGTGAATATGGGTAAGGTTGTTCTTTTTCTTCAGAATAGAAAAAAGGCCATGCACTCATGCAAACTAAATGAAAAGATGACTGAGCATGCATGATCTTTATGCGAAGCATGTGAACAATTGATCTGGGAAGAGCAGTTGGAACTTTACAAAACTTACGCTTTAAATTAAACATTATTTGTTGCAAAAAAAATTTATGGTACCTTTTCGAATTTCTTATGAAGATACTGTTACTTGTGCTTGGTGGTTGCTTGTTCTTCAGAGTGGAGGTGGCCGGCAGGGAAAGTGTAGCTGAGATAAAGGCAGGTTGATTGATCATTAGTGTATCATCAAAAGAATTTAGCATGCACATCATCCACTCTCGGGGTGATCACTGATCAATGATCATTGATCAAAAGTAGCACCACAAAACAGTGATCAGTCTATGTTTTGTGTTACCTTTAACTCCCTTTCTGCCTGTTTGGTCCACTCAACATTACTCCATATATTCCCCGCAAAAAAAAACATTACTCCATATATGATAGGTCATTTAAATTCAGAAAAATTCAGTAGTATTTCTTCATATGAAAATAAGAATTTCAGTAGTAGTATCCTGCAGCACACTGAAAAGAACACACACCATATATAGCGACAAAATCAATCACACACACCGTCCATAAACACAACAGAAAAAGAAAATCTGCTGGGTTTTTTTTTCTGCCTACCAACTACTCTGCGTTCCTCTGAAGTCTGAACCATTACACTATCTCCTTTCTCTCTCTCTCTCATATAATCTCTTGGCAGTATTAGTATTAGTGCCGAATTGCACCTCTTCTAATCTGTTTCCAAAGCAAAATTACAGCCAAATCGCTCCTCTTCGTATATACTTAGTGCCAATAGAAGGTAGGAAAGACCACATATCCAGGTTTCCTTGCTAGGCTCTGCTCATATCCCGCAAATTGAGGGTTCAGACTTCATAAGTTCGAGCTCTGTCCACAAGAAAGGAACAAGAGATTGTTCTTGGCAGTTGGAAGAAGCTAAGAACTTGGCGAGTTGGTGGCCAAGGTATGATTCTTTTCAGTATCCTGTTCTAAGTTCTAGAAGAGTTGTGCTCTCGAAGCAATTCTGATGCTCCTTTTATCCTTTTCCTTCCCCTTTTCTTGATCTGAATTTAGCCTGTTTTTCCTTTCCAATCATCGGTCTTTTATTTGAGCTAGATTTCCCAGTTCCTTATATCTTTGGCCTTCTGTTGGCGCCTTTGTCGATCAGCTCTTCTCTGTTCTTAAGTTCTTGGCTTTCTTCTCCGATACCCTTTGATTTTTCCCTGAAAATATTTGCAGTGTGTTCCCAACAGCATGATCAACCTGTTTCAGTTAAGGGTAGACAGAGCATGATCTTTCGTTTCCCCTTTCTTTAACAGTCAGATTTTCAGTCCAAAACCGGAGAATTATATATTAGAAGTCCACCACCTTTGGTTTCTTCTGTAAAGAAATTTACCGTTCTCCTAAAGAAAGAGAGAAATTTTACCTTTCTTTTTCATTGGATCACAAGCTAACTCAAGCGAGCTGAATAATATATTACTGAAGATTTGAATTGTGCCAAATTCGGTCATCTTTAGTGCTATTGCAAGAATTGGTGAAAGAAAGGTGCATACCCCCATACCTTTGTCCTGATACAAAAAGTAGAATCTTTTGATGTGCTATGAACAATTAAGTGGTCATGTAGCTAGATGCTTCCGTTTTACCAACAATCCACAGCTTTAGTTTCCACGGGCGGTTCCATGTTATTGCACCCAGAATTTCCGGTTTGCTCCTTCTCCATTCAATGGAATTGGCGGCTCGCCGATTCGTTCAAAAAAAAATCCAGTTCATGTTTCCAAGTTATGTCAGGATAACTTGAACTATAATTAAACAATTAGCGTCTTAATGACATAAGTTCGTGCCGACAGAATCATGTCACTTGATAGTGAGTCAATAGTTAGGGACTGAAATTTCGTCCCTGACATGACGCAATTCATTATATTCCCTCTCCCAAAGACGTACCTTACTGGACTTCTGTTGTATTATAGTGCGAATATGCAGTTTGGTCCGAAAGCATCAAGTTCTATGTTCATGGTCCCGATTCTTACATTGTCTATGCTACATCTCTGAATTCATTGAGAGAATATATACATTGTTCTCTGAAGAATTCAGAGACGTATACATCTCTGAACTTTGAGGCAGTGCTCATCTACTTTTACGACTTTGTAGTTTGTAGTACTAACCTTATTATTGTTACAGGTGCTCTTGGAGGGTTCTTGGAGCAGTACAATGTTGGCCAAAAGATTGAAAAGATGCAGCATTCTTCTGTTCGCCTTTCTCCTCGCAGACGCATCCGGTGTGTAGTGTAGCTATCTCGCTTTCTTTTTCTCATTTATTGAGATTCCTAACGACACCTTTGAAATGCATTGCCAATTTGATACGAAGTTGATCAACTGTTTGTGGATGACTTTTAAGCTGCAAAATATCAAAAACTTTGCATGGGAAGCTTTGCTTAGCCCGGAATTGCTTGCCATCCTTTTCATGTCTCCAGTGAAAAATGATCAGGCTGCCACTTACTGCACCTGACTGAAATTACTACTAACTTTTTACTAAACCTGAAGAATATCTGAATATACAGCCCACTAGTCAGAACTCTACAGCATGATAAATGCACTACCTTTTCTGAATCTGAACATGGATTACTAGTTTCAGATGATGGTTGTAGATTGCTACGGTACTACTACCTCCGTCCCTGAATATTTGACGCCGTTGATTTTTTTAAACATGTTTAACCGTTCGTTTTATTTAAAAAATTTAAGTAATTAATTCTTTTCATATCATTTGATTCATTGTTAAATATACTTTTATATATGCATATAGTTTTATATATTCTATAAAAGTTTTTAATAAGACGAACGGTCAAACATGTTTTAAAAAAGTCAACGGCGTCAAATATTTAAGAAAGGGGGAGTATTTGTTATCATGTCTTTTTTTTTATTATAGACTATGTGCATCTTAATTCTACAGATACTGAGAGTTTATGTTAAGAGAAATTATATTATCTTGATTTTTTTTAAAAAAAAAGTTTCCTTGTTAAACTTTTCAGAACTCATCTCATAAAATCTTTACAGGGAGTCTTCTTGAGAGCAGCGGCGGCCAGGCCGAGGCGATCGGTCCACAGATCTCCCCGGCGACAGAGGGCGAGGGCAAGAGGCGGTCGCTGGCGACGGGGATGTTCTGCGTGGCGCTGCCGAACGCGGACCCGACGGCGCTGCAGGAAGGGCTGAACTGGGCCTGCGGCCAGGGCCACGCCAACTGCGCGGCGATCCAGCCGGGGGGCCCGTGCTACAAGGCGAACAACCTGCCGGCGTTGGCCTCCTACGCCTACAACGACTACTACCAGCGCAACTCCGGCGCCGGCGCCACCTGCAGCTTCAACGGCACCGCCACCACCACCGCCACCGACCCCAGTAAGCCACCCATCAGCCGGATTGAGATACCATGGCCATGTTTAGTTCCCATACAAAAATTTTACACCATATCACATGAAACGCTCGAACACCTACCTGAAGTATTAAATATAGGCTTAAAAAAATAACTAATTGCATATATTACGACTAATTTGCGAGACGAATCTTTTAAACCTAATTGCTCCATGATTTGACAATGTGGTGCTACAGTAAACATTTGCTAATGACGGACTAAATAGACTTAATAAATTTGTCTCGCTGTTTACTGACGTATTTTGTAATTAGTTTTTTATTAGTGCCCGAACACCCCATACGACACCCTATATAATACCCGATGTGACACGCCAAAATTTTACACCCCTGTAACTAAAGGGCCTATTCGGCAGGCCAACTGCGACGGCTGCGAATGCAGCTGCGCACAGTGAGTGCGGCATTGTTCGCAGCCACAGCCCGGGCAACCGAACAGGCCCAAACATCCTCTATACAGTCAAAATGCACGATGCCTTTGTCACATGATCCCTTGGCCCACATGTCAGGAAACAAAGTCACATGACTTCGACTGCAGAGGATCTTGATCCCCATCAACCTATGTTAACCTGTCCAATGTCTGCTAAATTCAGTTTTTTTTTCTTCTTTTTTTTTTCCTACTCAAGATCTTTTGCTTTATATCGACTAACAGAAAAACACTAAAGAAATTTAAAGGAGAACAACAATTACAAATGGAAAAGATTCTAGTTGCAGGTAGTGGCGGCTCCAGAAAATTTTCTTTGGGACTCCACGCTCCAAAATTTCATAACACCGAAAACTCAGTTTACATATGCAAATTTTGCTCAAATACTCCAATAAAACTAGCATTTTAGCTTAAAACTTACAAAAATACAATATAAACAGTTTAATGTGTCATGCCTATAGCATAGATTTGGGCTAATAGATCAAGTTCTTTTTTTCTGAAAGATTGGCTGTCTTTTTCTGTCCTCTGCATGCTAAATTACTGAAGAACTAGCAATGTTCAGAAAAATTTCTAAATCGTGTTCGAAATTTGGGCTCTAATTCTTTCGTGGTTTCAGGTTCAGGGCAATGCGTCTTCTCAGGAAGGTGAGCATTTTTCCTCTTTCTCTCGGGCAACATTCTCTGAAAGTCTGAAGAAATCTGTCAACCATTTGCTCAGTCTCGCTGACATAATAGCACATTGGCAGCTCCATGGCCGGAGGCACCACGCCGGCGGCGAACGCGCCGTCCGCCGTCGGCCCGTTCACGCCGGGGTTCGGCAACGGGTCGTCGCCGACGTTCCCGGGGACGGGGAGCCCCGGCGGCGCGCTGACCCCCTTCGACGCCGCCGACAGCGTCATGTCCGGCGCTCGCCGGGCGCTCTGCGCGCTGCTGCTGGCGTCGCCGATCTTCCTCTCCCTCGTTCTCTGATCAGCAGTTCAGCACTAGTTGGAGTTTGTCCATGTAAATTATGCATATGGCATTATGTCATTCGTTATAAATTCACTCACCAGAGAGAGTCAGTGACGACTCAGGAGTCAGAGTCACCTTGACATGTTTTATTCCCGAGTAAATGACCAGTGTTTATATGTCAGATGTCAGATTGGATCATGAAATTATTTTATTTAGACCATTTTGTGGAATCCTGGTGTTCTTGGTCCAAATCTTTTGATGCTAAACACAGGAAATCTAAAAATGAATCTTTCTTTTCCATTTTTCTTTAACGACTCATATTCGGACAGGTACTTAAGTAATTTAACATTACTTAATTTCACATTACAAAATTACATAGTCCAACACACTCTATATTGTGGATATATCCTTCGCAGAAAATTCTAGTATTATTTTGCAAGAATTGATCTTCCCACGAGCAAAATGAATCATGTAGTATATGAATCAAATTTTGATGAAATTTTGGCCAGGTTTTCAGATATCCATGCTTCAGGTTTCTCTGTCAGCTGTGGAGTTCACCTTCCCCGTTGCGGCGGCGGCGGCGGCGGCCTTCTCCCGCCGGAATCTCTGGAAGTCGGCGACGATGCCGACGTCGACGTCCTGCTTCATCTTCTCGGCCAGTCTCTGCAGCACCTGCACCGCCACAATCTTCAAGATCGCCAAGAAACCAAAATTTGTGGCCCCGCCGGCGTTGGCGAAGAACCGAAGATCTTACTGTAAGATGAACAATTGACATATGTGATTATTAGTTTTGATAATTGGAGATTATTATCGAAGTGGTTTTGGAGATAATTGATTTTCAGGTGATGAACAGGGTTTACTGTTTTGTCGGAGCCGGTCAGACCGGGCGGTGGTTGCCGGTCAGACCGGCTCATGTGTAGCGGTTAGACCGGCCGACACTGTGTTGGTTTCGGTTTCGGGTTGTTTCTTTGGATATTCGTGATTGTTTCATGGTTATGGCTTCTAGATAGATACTATACGTATGTAATACTGTTGTTTGCTACTAATGAGTCAAGTTGGAGATAGTTTGGTCTAGGAATATGGTTTATTTGTTTATTTCATGTATGGGTGACTCGATGCCTCGGGAGAGTATTTGCGGTGATGGACCAGGAGTCGGCTTGGTGGTAAGACGATGTCCGTGGTGGTCAAATATCATGCGGGATACTAAGGCTAGAGTTGATACACGTGGTTGATGGAGATTCCATATGGCATACGATGGAGGTATTGTGTGCGTATGGGATGCGGAGTCGAATTTGGAAGGAGTCCAAATTTGGTACGATTGGTTATGTAAAGTTTCTTTCTTGTACTAGAGGGTTTCCTAAGGTGTTTAGGACTCTTAGTATGAGTTTGGTTCGTGGCTTTAGGCTGCCTACCTCATGTATAAATAGAGGGGGAGCATGAGTCTTCCCGGTATCGCTTTGTATCGCTTTTGTATAGCTTTTGAGAGCTAGTTTAGTTAGGGTTTCGAGTTTAGTCGAGATTTTTGTAAGGAGTGCTGTTGGTGCACTTTGTAAACACGGATAGAAGCAATAAAGTTGTCATCTACTTTGAGAGTTCTTCGATTTGTGTTTCACCAGGTTTCGGCGATCTAACCGGCATCTCAGCGGCGGTCAGACCGGCGGCATCGCGGCGGTCCGACTGACGGCGTAAGGGCGGTCAGACCGGCGGCGGCGACAGCAAGCGGCAGCTGATCAGGCGGTCAGACCGGAGTTCCAATCTCGGTCAGACCGGTGGCTTTCAGACGGTCAGACCGGCACGACTACCTCGGTCAGATCGCGATCCATCGATTTCGATGGTAACTTTTATTTCCGTTAAAAGTTTTTGGTTTTTGGGTATTTCAACCATTCACCCCCCTCTGGTTGGCTTAATTCTTGTGGTTCGATCCTACACTTACCGACTCGGCGACGCCGCGCATGACGGCGCCCGGCACGAGGCGCATCGGCGGCGGCAGGACGCAGCCGATGGAGATCTCGAGGTGGCCCCTCAGCCGGCAGGCGCGGCGGCCGCGGCTCCTGTCGGCGTAGAGCGACCCGCGGACGCCGAGGTCGAAGCTCGCCGGCGCGTAGTCGCGCTCCAGCCCACGCAGCTCCCACTCCGTCTGCGCCGCGCCCTCCGGCCCAAACAGACAAACAAACAAACACATGGCGCGCACACGGTTCAACGGCTGCTGCACGAAGCAGAGATGTGTAAATTGGGGATGGATTTTGCTAGTCCATGCGTACGCACGATTCGGAGGTCGAGCACGCCGTCGCGGTGGCGCAGCTGCATGACGACGACCGGGTGCACGGTGAGGAGGAGGAACTGCAGCGGCAGCATCTGGACTCTCCACTCCTCCTGCACGCACGCACGCACACAGGATCAGCTTAGCTTCATCGTCGTCGCCGCCGGCGAGGTCGTCGCCGGCGAAGTGGTTTGGTTTGCTTACGTCGCTGAGGCGCTGGCTCCTGCTCTCGTCGGGGAACATGGCGCGGAACACGCGGGCGCGGTCGAGGAGGTACTCGTCGAACGACACCTGCACCGCGCTCGCCGGCATGAATTCCGGTCATCTCGTCGCATCAATCCATGGCGATGCAGAGATCGAGGAGGGGATGCGGATTTACCCCGGTGGGCTCGTAGAGCGGCATGTCGGTGGAGATGCTGGAGGAGTAGGAGACGGCATCCGACGACGACGACGGCCGCGCGTCCGCCGCGCCGGCCTTGGCCGCGACGGCATGCCGCCGCGGCGCCCTCCTCCTCCTCGCCGCCGCAGGCCACCACTCGGTTGGGCCTCTCGCGCGGACCTGCGCAGGGGCGACCGAACAACGGCGAGCACTAACACCACGGCTCGCCGCCGTCCATGGCCGGTGCCCGCCGCGAGCGGTGCTCGCCGCAGCTGCGGCGGCGGCGGCGGCGGCGGCCATGGCTGCGCCACCACCAACCTACTACCTAGCCTAGCTCACCTAGCAAGCTAGTAGCTCGCGTAGACTGATCAGTGATCACTCGTTTCCCCCACGTGACGGGTCGGGACAAGGGGGCACGTACGTTACGTGGCCGATGAATTGTGACCTCACGTTCGTAACACGATTGCGAAGAGCAACGCGACGTGTCGGATCGCCGAGCCGTGTGTCGGTCGGATAGTCGGATTTGTCGTTATCCGACCTGATCAGGTCCAAGTCCGACCGACCAACCAGAGGAGAGCGGTGGGTCGTGACGTCTGCACCCAACCATTGGAGGCTCGGAAGCCTTTGCCTGTCGCCGCCTGCATTCGCTTTTCCTTCTCTTTGATTTTTGTAATGTAGTGGACACTTTTTTCAATGAAAGCATTTAACTGAATCAAAGTAAATAAAGAGAAAAAAAATAGATTACTGTGTCTAATTTGCATTTTTTTCATCAGTGAGAATAATTTGCCAGAACGACTGCCGATTACATAGTATAGCCAACTGTTAGCTCTAAATCACCTATAGTCAAACTTAATAGCCAATTTATATAATAGTTACATATAAACATATACTATACTATTAATACATGGTCTCAGCTGTCATACACACGTTGTGTATTTAAGTCCGTGCTATAGCTGGCTACAAATCTATAGTCTGCTACTTTTCTCTCTTATCATTTATCTTTTTGATATGTGTTTATAGCTGGCTTATAGTCTCCTTTTGGAGAGTGAAATGAAGGATGAAGAAATTCGGAGCATTCTTGGGCCGATTGAAATGGTAGCGATCCAGATATGGTGGACCTGAATTGAGCCCGCGCAGTCTGTCCGATAACCAGGCCGAAGCGCGTAGTGGGCCCAGACTGTTCTAAAACGGACAGCATTTTCTGGAGGAATAAGTTCATCTGAGGTCCCTTAACTTGTCAACGAATCCGATTTTCGTCGGTCTCTCAACTATCAAAAATGGTGCACTCAAGGTCCCTCGGTGGTTTAGATGGCGGTTTTGGCTGACGTGGCGCCTACGTGGCTAGTTTGACTCGGTCTTCATCTGACGTGGCATTGACGTGGTGCTTACGTGGCAATTCGATCCAAAAATAATAATAATACCCATGCGACCCACATGTCAATTTCACACACAAATTAATAAAAATGGTGGGACCCACGCGAACCCCACATGTCATCCTCAATCCCCTCCTCTTCTCTCTATCCCTCCTCTCTCTCCCCTGCACTGATAGGTTGTTCCCAGCGGCGGTGGGGAGCAGCGGCACGGGAAGGGGTCGCTGCCTCGCCGGAGTAGCGGCGACGGCGCCTGGCGAGGAGGGAGCCGCGGCAACGAGGAGGCGTAGTGGCGGGGAGGCAACTATATGCTGCATGGCGCTAGTGCCGCTCTCCTCCTCCTCCTCGGCGGTCCCGGGGCCGGGAGCTCCCACGGGGCCCTCGTTGACGGTGGCCGCGGCCGGGGAGATGGTGGCAGCGGCGGCGGATGGCTCCTCCGATGACTCAATGGAAGGGCTTATCACTTCCTCCGCCTCGACGTCGGGGCCTCCTCCTCCTCCTCCGGCTCCTCGCTCGTGTCGGGTGCAGACGCTGCCGACGTGGCGGTCGAGTCTTCATCTTTTTCTTCTTCCTCCACAGGGGTGGCGGCTGCTGGCTGCACCTCCTCTGCCTCGTCAACCGCCTTCCGCCATAGCCGCCACCTCTTCCACCGCTGAGGAATGCCGCGGCTCCCTCCTCGATCGCTGGCCACCTCCCGTCGCTCCTCCCTTTCTTGCCGGGCGTCGTCGGTCGTCGCCAATAGCTTCAGTGTGTCAACAAGAAGTAACAACAAGAAGAGGGCATACAGAACAAGCTGCGCACAATTTTCCTGGGTTACCCGGGAGCCGTTGTCATTTGAGTGGTTCAAAGGAGTGATGAATGAGGTTGCTGAAATGGACAAGGATAGGCCAGCAGTATATTGATAGTGTTGGTGATCAATTCGTTATGCAATTTCGACCAGGGTGTGTCATAGAGCTGCACAAGGATGCGCCGTGCGCGGACAACTCTGTTGTCGATGGTGCAAGCTCTGAACCATGCCTCCTCATTGGGACTTTGGGAGCGAAAGGAAGAAGGAGATAGAGAGGAGGCTGGCACCGAGGTCCGTAAGCACGACGCGGTCGGGGGTACACGAGCACGTGGAGGATGCCGCCGCGATAGTGCATGGTGGGGGACTGGGGGACAGCAACGAGGCCTCAACGCCGCCGAACACCGCATCGCGCTTCGCCCATTCATTGGTCTCCGACGAGAAGACGTCCAAGGTGATGCCGATTCCCGCCGCCGCTTCGGCCGCCGTCGCCCTACTCCGCCCGTCGCCCCGTAGGGAAGAAGAGAGAGAGGAGAGTGGGAAGACGAAAGGAGAGGATAACATATGGGGTCCACGTAGGTCTCACCATTTTATTATTATTTTGTGTGTGAAACTGACATGTGGGTCCTACGGGTTTTTTTATTTTTCCAGATCGAATTGCCACGTAAGCGCCACGTCAATGCCACGCCAGATGAAGACCGAGTCAAACTAGCCACGTAGGCGCCACATCAGCCAAAACCACCATCTAAACCACCGAGGGACCTTGAGTGCACCGGTTTTGATAGTTGAGGTACCTCTTGTATTTGGTTTTCGGTTGAAGGACGAAAATCGGATTCGTTGACAAATTAAGGGACCTCAAATGAACTTATTCCTTTTCCGGATACCCGCAATGACGAAAGCGCACTACAAAAAGCGGAAGTCTAATCTTACATCATCCTGCGCCTCTGCCCTCTAACCGGATAAGCAACTAGTAATAGCTAAATACAGTGATTAGATTGCACACGAGTAACTGGTTAGCTTAAGTTGACTTGTAATTACCTCTAAGTTGAATCATCGTAGCCAAATCGGGGAGCATACGTGCATTATCCCTTTGATGAAATTTTCTTTAACCTGATCTTGGTCAACTCTTTCGTCTAAGCATATATACTTTGTGAGCAATTATATAGTCACGCCCCGTTATTTTGATCAATTCGCGTCATCCTCTAGTGCATAATGATTATCTCAAGTGGCACCCGTAAATCGACGATTCCGATAAAAACAATCAAACAATAGATTATCTGGCAAGTAAACATAATGCGTCACTGATAAGTATAGGTCGTAATCCAGAACAGCGCTTAAGATTAGAGTTTTTTTTTATTATTTTGCTAATGAAATCGCATTGGAAGTTCAGAATAGAACACAAGTTGTAACTTGTCAGTGTCGGTGTCATTTTCCGCCCTGACAAATACTGGTATCGCTGTCACGGCCTAAAAAAGACAAAAATGAAAAGGATATTAGAGCAAGCATAATGATGAGCTATAAATTTACTTTTAAACTTACGTCAAGAAGAGATATATAAAAAAAATGAAAAATATTTGCTCTTATATAAAAGCTAGCTTAATATAAACTCTAAAATAAATACATTAAATGCATAAATAAGAGATAGATAGATTAGAAAAAAATTACACCCAACCTTATAGCTAATGTGTTATATACGTTGTTTTAATAATATGAAGTGGGCTCTTAAGAGAAAGGGGATTAGTACTAATAGCGATCTTGCAGAGATCACAGAGTCCACAAAGAGCCGAAACATGTCAAAATCCATGTGCTGTATAGTACTAGCAGCAGCACACGGAATCAATCAATCCAAGCGACCCAACGGCCAACGACGATGCACATTGCCGACCTGATCGAATCATTAATTGCCTTTTGCTTATTGGAAATAAACTGATAGCCTATCTGACTCACACAGAATATATTATCAGTAGCATTAAGTGTGGCGATGCATTATGCTCGTATCGTATCAGGCCCCATTGAAAAAGAAAAAAAGCACGCGACTCTTTTTATGTATAGAAAAAGAACCCAACTTTAGTTTATTCCAGGCAAGTGAGGACAGTGAAGTGACACCCTTTGCGAATATACAGTACGGAGTAAGCTGCAGCCAGAACAATTGCCTGCCCGTTGTAGCACAGAAGTGACGATCACTTTTGCGTGCACCGTAGGAACCACGAAGGGTCAGTGCTAACTACCCCTCCATAAAAAAATATCGGATTGACACTTCATAGTAATAATATGAATATGCACAGAAACTAAGATGTATCAATATCCGATACTATATTGGTTTTTTATACATGGAGCCAATAAATTTTTAGAGGTAAGATAAATCAAAATACACACCTCCTCCATCCTAAAATTTATCAAATTTTAGTATTTAAAATTTGTTCCAAATATAACAACTTATCCATCATCATTCTCTTATCAAACAATCACACCTCCATCATCCAATTTTCTTACATAGCTTCACTTCTTAATCAATCACAATATTTCACCATTAAACTTTACTTTTTTTTAAATAACCGTATCAATCTCTAAAAAATATATATACTAAGCGGTTATTATGAAAACTATTGGAGTATTTTGAAATTATATGATAGCACTACGGTTCCAATGTTGATAAATAAACTGATTCAACAGTTATTTTCAAATTATTATCAATTGCTGAATCAGTTTATTTGTTCAACGCCTCAAAACACACATTTTTTTTTAAAAAAACACTAATTCTATTGTACTCATTATTTGTAAGTTACTCCCTCCATTTCAAATTGATCTACATATAGATTTTTTAAGGTTATTCCTAAATGATCTACATATTTGTGTTCATTTATTAAGTCTATTCTTTATTTGTGCATTAGAGTAAATGGACATTGATGCATGCATCCATGCACACAAGTATTTATAACCCACATGTAATATTTTGATTTGCTATTGGCTAGAAAATAGTGGGGATGGTGTATGCTTAGAGTTTGTTGCTAGAGTAAATATAGTATGAAAGAATTATTAGTTTTTCTTGGTCTTGGTGTATCTATGAAATATGTAGATTAATTTGGAATGGAGGGAGTATCTGTTAAACCCATCTATTTAAAATATGTAATTTATCCCTACCACAAAGTAGATAATTCACAAAACAATCTTCTTAATAATCTGCTTCAAACTGAGCATCAGATAATCGGTTTCTTCTGCCATGATTTATAAATGAAATGTTGCCCATGCAAATGATGGCATTAAACAATACACT